TCTGCAAATAAATATTGATAAAATAGAAAATGTTGGAGGCAGGGGTCGAAACCCTGACCTCCCACACACAATGCTTTAACAGCCTTCATGCTTGCCACTGGGCCACTTAATTTTTGTTAATAGAAATAAACGAAATATAATATATTGAATAATGATTAGTGGCTATAATAAACTGCACGCGAGATTCAAACTGTCCAACCAGGTTTGGACACGCCATCGTCTTCTCCAAAGGAACTGTCGTTTTAGACAGGACTTTTACCTACAGACGTACGTTGTAACTATAAGCCTGCAATTCTCAAAAATCAACACCAGACGAGATAAATAAAATCTAATTACATAGATCAACTGGGTTTGATCTCTTGAGTGCAATGTTGTTCACCTTTTGGCCTAATTTTGCTTGAAATAAAAAACCCTAAAACAGACCTTGAAACCCTAACAATGGCAGTTATCCATACAAGCATCAAAACAAACAATTAAACATTCAAACATGTTCTAAATGATCATATAAACATGAATGCATATTCAAAATTCATTTATTATGCGTAAATTATCGAAATCAAATTCAAGAAAATAAGGGCAAATCGTGATACTGTGAAGGTTGATTATGAGTGTGTTGATGCATGGGAGTGGTCCAGGAAGCTTCCAAACGTGCCCAGGAATTGATTGCAAGCCTTAGAATGCTTTGAATCTCCCTGTAAATCAAAATCCAATCACCACTTTTTGTCAAAAAATTGAAGTTTCTTGTGGGTGTTCTACATGGCCAATCCTTGTCTTTTTGATCTGGGAATGTTATGAATATATAGTAGAGTGAATTAGGTCAACAAAACTGAACACAATCTTTGAAAATTTGTGAGAAAAGATTTGATTTGAATCTTGTATTTTTTATTTCTAAATTTGGCCAAATTATGCTATATCCATCCCAATCATCCATTGCACGATTTCCTTGATTTGCTAGCTGATTATAGACTCATCATGGGGTCATAAAATCAAATCTTGGATTTTATTTTATTATTCCACTATTTTATTTGATTTATTTTGATTTTAATGAATAAAAAATCAAAACAAATAATAAAAATAATAAAATAATAAGTGGATAAGCTCAGGGGTCGTGGGCCATCTTAGGAACAAGTCTCAAACAAGAAAACACGGGCCTATTTGGAAAAACATCAATTTTGATCAATGTTGACTTCATGCCCATTTCCAAAAATTGGTCAACTTTAGCAATTCATATCTCTCTCATTTTTTACCCTAAGAGGGTATTCTTGGACTTTTTAGAAAGCTTAGGATGTCCTCTAAACAACACTTGTAGTCTCATCTCAATTGGATCTTCCATGTTCATGTAAGGAGCTTTGACCCAAAAGGTATTTTTGTTGACTTTTGAAATGACCTATAATGTATGAACTTGTATCTTTTGATTGAGCATTTCTTGACCTTGAAGGCTGGAGATAAGTTGAAGGGAATTGGAGGCCCTTCAAAATGAGCCTTGGTTGGAAAATTTCTGATAAAGTATGAGAAAGTTATGCCTGATCAAAGTTTGGTTGACTTTTCCTATATAAACCCTAAATTGCCATTTTGGACTTTTGATGAGTTAGGAGCATTTCTTGAGGAATCATGATCAACCCTTGATCAAATGATGGATATTAATTCAAAATGTTGATGTTGACCAAAAATCTTGAAGTTTGACTGTATTTGGGCCACAATTGACTTTTGACCTAGTATAGTTGATTTTCAGGCATTTGAGCAGTTGACTGAGCAAACTTGTTGTGCAAAGCATGAAACTTGGAATGGATGATGTTGAGGACATATTAGAACAATGGAGACCATTTGGAACCCTTGGAACTAAACCATCTTGCTTGAAATTTAAACCCTTGTTTGAGGCTTATTATCTTAAGAGGAGGATTTGTCTGGTCAATCCTTAGTCAACTTGAGAAATTGAGGACCTCTAGGAGTATGTCTTGAGTGAAAATGGGAGGGAAAATTTTGGGGTACAACATGTATGCTATATCAGTGTAACCTTATGTTTGTCGGACAAATTTCGGGGTATTCCAAGTATTCAATAAACTCCTAATCAGAATGCACAATACTTGCGTTTTCTCACGTTATTCGATTGGAAGATAATTGAATAGGGGATGTTGTCGTACCCCAAATTTGTCCTACCCCGATGATTTTATTTTTCAAGATTTAAATAGAAGAAATATTTAATTAAAAATGGTACAACAGTATCTGACGGCTCATCTTCATCCAAGACTAGGGGGTGTATTTTAATTCAGGAGAGTGAGACTTTCTAAATCAGAAAGACTCATGTATCTGTAGGCCCATTTATGAAGCATGTTGGCCAATGGCCCATGCGATTCGTAAATGGAAATTATTCAAATAAATATTAAGTTCTTAACTATTAAATAGTTGTTATTAGTAAAAGAGGGGTTGAAATTAACTAAGTCCACTTAAATGTTTTTGTTGTTAGTAAAAAGAAAGGAAGTGAAAATTCAGTATACAAGCCCATTTTGTTTAGTCCCATTTCCATTTTTTCGTTGTTTATAGCAAAGAGAGATATTATCAATTTTACGGGCCCATTGAGTATTTGGCCCAATGGATGTTGTTACTGTTTTATTTGTAAAGATAAAAAAAATTCCATAATTAAATCCTTTTTATAATTACTGTTATCATTAAATGATTTTTGAAACATGTTATTAGACATTATTTTTATAAAGAGTCTTTTGAGAAAAAAGATTTGTGGATCAAATATTGGTGTTAGTCTGGCCCAGTTTGTATTGGAAAAAAGCCCATGCTGGATAAGATAAATAAAAAAAACAACGCAAGGCCCATGCTGAAAAACAGCTACTGTATAAATCGTATCTAAATTAACGCACATTTTGTGGCATAAACATTCACTGTAGAAATTAACATTTAAATCTCCAAAACCAGATTCAAAGCCAGAAACATTACAGTAGAATCAAATAAAAAACTGAATCAAATCTATTAACACCCAAATCAAATCTCCAGAATTCAATTTATATTACAAGAACAAAAAAACAAATCGAATATCAATCTAAAACAATCAAATTTACAGTAAAAAAAATCAATTACAATCAATTTACAAATCAAATCAATCCCTAATCATATCTAATTGCCTAAATCTAAGCTAATTTCTAACAACAATTCTAACTCAAAACTCTAAATCAAAAAACAGTATAAATACAAAGGGGAAATCGTGAAGAAGGGGGGGACTGAAACCACGAAGAAGAGTTGCGAAAGTACTGAAACAGGGGAGGCTGAAATACAGAGGCAGAAGAAGAAAAACTTGCGCTGAGAAGAACACGAATGAATTGTTGAAGAAGACGTAAAAGGGGACGATTAGGGTTTCAATATCTGAAACCCTAATCGTCATTGATCTTCTGCCGCATCCACTATCTGCAACCTCCGCCGCAACCTACAAAAACAAAGAACAAAAGGGGATTAAACCCGGAACGATAAAAGACAGAGAAATAAAATCGCGACCGAAGGTAATAAAGCTTAACTCTTTTCATTATTGTGATATGGGGTTTGGTTTTGTGGTAGAAGAGAGAGGGTCAAGGTGACGGCGTCGCGATTAGGGTTTGGGGGATAGGTTGAGAGGAAGAGAAGAAGGGTTTTGGGATGTATTGTGAGAGAGGAAAGGGGATACAATAAAGAGAAAAGTGTGAAGGGTTTTAGTGGTTAAGAGAGAGGGTAGAGATTATTGTAGAACTAAAACAAAGAAAAATGAAAATATTAAAACCAAGTGTAATCCGTTTAGATCCCATGTGCGTTGGTCAACTATAAGCCTCGTGCTCCCTTATTACCAGCCATCTAATCACGATCTGACGGCCACTAGGCCAGTCACCATGTTAACCCGTACCCCCTCGCCCCACTGGATTACACTGAACCCCTTTCCTAAGCGTTTTGGGCCTAAGCCCATCGTTATTCACACTTCATTCTCCCTTAACTACTAAAACTCAAAACAACTACACCTCCCCTGTCTGAATTCATATTTGGGCCTAGCCCAGTTCTTCTTTTAGCACCCCCACTCTTTTACTTGCTAACTAGATAACGCACCCCCTGGTTTAATTTATTATTTTTATTTTTTTAATATTATTTTCTATATTATATTCTTATTAATTATTTATTTATTTTTTTATTTATAATAATAATAATTATTATTATTATTAATTTTTATTATCATAATTTGTCTATTATTATTATTATTTATTATATGTAAATATTACTATATTAACATGCAAATTAATTTTATTCAAAAAACTCATGAATATATTATTTTCTATATATTGCATTAAATATTTTAATCATGCATTAATAAGATATTTTGCAATTAATATTATAAAAAATACCAACAAATATCAAACTATGTTTCGCAAATAAAATAATCTAATCAACTGTTTTTGCTAAAGTGTTTCAAACAGATTTTGACTTACCGCGCATTTAGTTAAAATCTCCGCAATCACTACTCCTGACCAAAATGCGAGGTGATTCAACGTATGTTTGCAACCCCTAAAAAACACCAACTCCATACGAACTACGAATTGAGACTCTAATTCCTCATAAGAGGATACGTAGGCATACGATCAAAAATTGTGGCGAGTTCCCCTATTAGAAAATTAAGACACTTTTCCCTTATAAAAAATTAAAACCCTTTCCCCTAATAAAATTTAAATCTAGTTTCCCCAACTCAAACCTAAAACCTAATTTCCTTTTGAACAACGTAGGTGAAAGGTGCCTAACACCTTCCTTTCGTCTAAAAAAGTCTGAAACCTAGAATCTCTGTCTGTGAATTATGGTTTTCTGTTAGATTCCCTTCTCTAGGATAAAAACTAATAGTGGCGTCTCTGATTTAAAAACCAGTCACAACAACACTCGCTTTTTTATTCAAAATACAAACCTTAAATTTTTTATTATTGATGAAATGATTTGAAATTATTCTTTCCAAATAAAAAAAATTCCATAGTTCCACTTGCTCCCCATAGTCAATTACAAGATAGTCCTTCAAGAAACAAAGTGCTGAAGTGATCCATTACATGTTTATTGAGAACAAGACATATTTCAACTTCACCACTGCCATCTTTGCTATCTCTAAAACCAATTGGTAAATCTCTATCTATGGACACAATCTCCACCTTTTCTGGCCTTCCATAACCAAAATCATTCTTATAAACACAAAATCAATTAGACCCAGCAACTCCAAAAATTTCATATCTTTCATTATTTAAAGTTTTATATCTATCAAATATATCAAAAACCCTTTCTTCAAAAATTCCCTTTTCATTTATCATCTTTATTTTCTCATAAATACACTTGGCAACTAGAAATACACCATCTTCGTTTTTGAAATCAAATGGTTTTGTATCAATGAAATCCCCCAACAAACAATTACCAAAATAATTATTTGGTATTGGTGGTTCCAACCTTGATCTACAATTTATTGCAAAAACCAAAACAAAATTTTCTTTCTCTATTTCAACTCCATGAATAGCTTTTGCAATACAAACAAGTGAATAAGCACAAGTGAGAATAAAAGATGATAGAGTCTCAGGATTTGATTCATTTGGATTGAATATTTCCCAATTGGATAACACATATTGCTTTATTTTATCCAAATATTCACGTGTGAGCTTGAAGGTAGCACGAAGAGAGTCTTTGAGTTTTGGTTCCGAAGGAGAAATCTTTAGGCTTAATTTATTTTCTTTTTCTGTTGGGGGTATCTTCAACAAGATCTTGATTGCGTTATTTTCATTTGTGCCTTTGATGATATCTCTATTGAATAAAGGCTCTAACTCTAACAACAAATTTGGTGTTTCAAATTCGATTATTTTGTTGCATAGATAAGCCCAAGCTTTGACGAACATAGATAAATATTTTCCATCAAAAACAACATGGTGTTGTGTAATTCCTATGCTGAAGCCACAGTTTGGGAAAAGAGTGATTTGGAGGGACATAGTAGAAGCAAACGAATCTGATGATTCCAAGTTGGGAATAAAAGAACGAGACAAAGAAGCTTCATGGGGTGAGTTTCCAATGACATGGTTGAAGTCTAAACTAGATTCTGCAATGAGCAATGAAACTCCATTATCATCATCATTGGGATTGAATTTGATGAATGGTTTTAAAGAATCAGAAGCCCAAACAATTTTACCAGCTAAAGGGAGGAAGTGTTGGAGGGTTAAAGAGAGTGAAGATTTGAGATTTGGAACAATTTATTGAAAGAAGAAAGAGGGGTGGGAGTGTTGATCACGGAGGGTGTAAAAGTAGATTCGCTCTAATGGATGGAAACCTAGCCATATTATGTCAAAAAAGTGAGAGGAGTTGTTGTTGTTGATTGGGTTGATGATGATGGATGAACTACTTTGAAGTGTTCATGGATTTTAATGTTGTTTTTGTTGGAAGCCATGGAAAGCTCGGACGAAGTATTATTGATTTCTTTTCATTTGATGTGTGGGTGGATTCTAATGATGTTTTTCTTAGAGAGTTTAAAAGAAAATATCTGAACCGTTTCTATGGTTGCCCTTTAATTCTTAAGTGATAATAATTGTGTGACTTACGCTGACAGTTTGTTTGTTGAAAGTTTATACAGACATCTTAATATATTATAAATTATAAATATATAAAAACTAAAGGATTTGGAAAAATCAAGTAACCCTTTTGAGTTTACGTTAAATTTTTTTTGATTCCATGATTAAAAACGACTGTTTGAAGCCTTGTTGTAACCATATTCATTTAACATTTAATAGTGTTTATGTGTCATGCTATTAGATTTTTGAAATAATTTTGAATTAATTTTATATTAGACTTATATTGGTTAAATGAAAAACCTGAAATTGAGAAGCTACCTTATTTGGTTGAATGTCTCCAAATTTCAATTTTTTTTGAACCGAAAAACCACATAGGGAAGAGGAAAATACTTAACTTCTGCATTGATTTTCTATTTGTCTCATATTCTCTCTGTTTCTGATCCATGTCCTAATACTCCTTCAAATACCAACAATCATCATATTGTATTCTCTCTCTTTTTGATTCCTACCCAAATACTCTTTTAAAAACCAACAATAATCATATTGAATCTCTGCTAAAACCTTACCACAAACCTTCAAAATCGCAGCCCTTGACCTTCAAACCACAACCTCACTTCAAACCTCACGTACCACTCATCACAAATTCTACAAGTCTTCATAATCTGCAACACTAAAGCAGCACAATAAAAAATAAGATCCATACAATAAACACAACAGATCGAAGAATGGAGAAGATTAAGACAAAGTTTAAAGATGGAGATTTGAAGAATAGGTTCGAGAGACATACAATTTAGTTTATAATGTGTTCCTTCAATCTCAATTATTTGAACTTCATATTTCTCTGTAAATCCATGTTATAATTTGTAACCATAAAGCATAATATTGGATTGGGGCTTTTAGGGTTTCATGTGGGGTGAGGGTAGATTGATTTCATACTCTTTGTTTTTGATTCTTCGTTGCCATGAGTTGCTGCGAAAAGCACATAAACATGAGCAACACATACTGACTCAAAGGGATGGAGGAAACAAGAGAAATGCTTTAGCTAAGGGGAGTGGATCACCCGAATTAAAAAACTGGGAGACAAATGAAATGAAAAAGAAAAGAAATGCTTTAGCTAAGGGGAGCGGATCACCCGAAGCAAACAAGCGGCTAGCGAAGTATCAACAATAGCCATTGCAAACTCTTGGCAATATATGGGGGTTTGATTGCGAAACCCTTTTCCACATGACCGACTCGATACACATGATAAGTACGACTCCGAAGCATCGACGCACAACGTGAGCTAAGGATGACACGGACTAGAATGTGTGGGGGTCGATTGCGAACCCTCTCCGCTCGCCTCCTTTTGAGGACTTCAATAAGGGGTGGGGGAACAGATGCAAGCACAAATGTAAACACACGTGTGGAATACCTACTTCAAAGGTAGGATTTTAAACAAACACAAATAACATATAGAAAGCGGTGCCTGCTACAGGACTTTAAACAACGACTTCGAGCGCACACTCTTTATTTCCTACTTTTCATAATATCTAGAAAGCAGTAAAGTTCCTACTTCTCATGATATCTAGAAAGCAGTAAAGTTGAAATGAGATAAACAAGAGAAAATACCAAACAAATATCAATCCGTAGCAAGGTGTATCAAAACAAAGAAACCCGACGATCTTTGCGAAAGCTTCACCAATCAAAGAAAAGAGTCAGAAATCAAATACTCAGAATAAGTGTCAAAGCATCATCGATGTGAAAATAAATCTTAAGCGGAAGGTGCGCCAAGCATATCCGAATGTCACATAATAAACCTGTATAAGACTCAAATTTCAACATGCAAAGGTGAATAGCAAGTCTCGAGTAATCGAAAAATCAGGAATTACTTCCTAAAAATAAAATGAAAAAATCTAACAAATTTAATTGATTTTATTGTTTATTATTATTATAAAAAGATATAGAAAAATTTAAAAGATAAGTCCTAAATCTAAAAATAAACATAGGATGGTCAGGGTAGTGCAAAACCGAAGTCCATGGGGTATATAAGCAAATCAGGCGCTAAGCCCATTTACTATGGTCCATGAAGAGGTTTTTTATAAGGCAATATTGTTGTGCAAAAAAAAACAAATACAGGCCTTAAGATTTCTACCCAACCACCAGCAAGCCCTCTCCATTCAATGTTATCCCAAATCAGCATTGTGTTATACCAAAAAATCCACCAATGGGCCCAGGAAAGGGACAATTCGGTCCACATAATAAAAAAGAATAAGCACTTTTTTGTTTGACCTATTTCAATAAAAAAAGAAGAAGAAAAAAACGTGAAGAAATTGAAATGGGGGAATACGCGGAATTTAGGGTTTTATGTAGCGACTTTTCAACTTTGCAGAGTACGATCCCTCTCTTGAATTTCACGGAGGTAAACTCCCACTCTTCATCTCATCTTTGCCGCTTCATAACCATCATAACCAGAAAGGACCCATGCCGTCGTCTCAGCTTTCCGTTTCGTCCTCCCTTTCGTCAATCTCGCTGTGATTCTTCTTCGAATGTGACTTATGTCGCCCGGTATTCTCACTCTCTTCTTCGGTGAAATGACCTTGCACCATCGTCTATGTATCTCACTTCGACGCCCTCTCACTCAAATGTAATATTCCCCGTTATCGACTCAGATCGTCGTGCTCGTGTTTGTCTCGTGCGATTAACTCATCGCGCCTTGCTTCCGTTTCAAATCGTCCTCAAACCAACAGATTCACAGATTCTACATTGTGATAGCAAGAATGAAAATATATAAGAGTTTCGAAAGTTACCGATTGGAGATGCTCCGATGGCGTTTCAATTATGTCGGTGGTGATAAACTCATTTGTCATGAATTATGTAGTTGCAGCGATTTGCAGAAGAACGTGCATTGTTGTTGTGCTTCTTGCGTTCTTACGATGTTGTTTGTTGTTGATGAAAAATGAAAGTTAATGATGATGATTGGAGGTTGGAGATGCTGAGAAGATTTGCAGGAAGTGATTGACGATTACCGATTGTTGGAGCCTTGAGATAGATGGTGAATGAAGCATAATTATGCAGAATTTATGGAGAGAGAGAGAGAGAGAGAGAGAGAGAGAGAGAGAGAGAGAGAGAGAGAGAGAGAGAGAGAGAGAGAGAGAGAGAGAGAGAGAGAGAGAGAGAGAGAGAGAGAGAGAGAGATTTACTGAGATTTTTGCAGTGATTCTTCTGAATGATTATCGATGAGAGGTAATTCTATTTTTATATTCTGTTATCAATTTGTTAGGATTGAATCAATCTGAGCCACTAATTTCTGATTTTCTGTTATGGAATAGAGGGATCGGATGAGAGCAGTTAGTAGATTTAAGAATCTGTTATGTAAAAATGGGAAAGTTAGTTTTATGTTATGGCTGTTATCAGTTAGCTGGCACAACTTTATTTCCTAATATCTTTTTTCGCAGTTTCGTTTTGCTAAGATGCAATTCTGTTTTTTTCTTAATGATTTTCTCTTTCATCTGTTTTCCTCATGGTTTTCTCTGATGCATATTTCTGATAAACACTGATGCAAAGTATTTAAACAGGGCTGATTTATTAATGAATGGAACATAGTCTCTTTTCCTTCTGATATTTCCTGATTGAATTTCTAATATTCTTTCTTGAATTTCTCTTTTCATGAGCTGACAATTCTGATTTTTCTTTCTGTTTTTTTTTGTTTTCTTCAGTGAATAGAGATGTGGTTTTAACGTGTATCCGAACTGAATTTGAAGGTGCATATGCAGTGAATCTTGAGTGGTTTAGAATGTGAAATTGGGCTACATACACAAGCCGACTCTGAATACCGATTTAATGGTGAATGTAGATTGAAGTGTGGACCTGATACATGTGAGGTAATGTTACTCTAAACTGAACTACGTTTGAATTCCTTGAACTGTTATGCACTGACGGAATTGACCTGGCTTACGTTTAAATTTCTGAATTAATTATATGGCGTTAGTTGATGAAGTGCCAATCTGTCTTTTTTGCAAGATAGCTTCGGTTTCCGAATTGGTTTAAGATGGCTGCTAGTCGTATGCATCATGTGGGCTTGATGTTAAGAGTGAGAACCAAGTTGCAAAGTTATCTTGATCATGAAGGACTTGAAGAGAACTGAAGAAGTATTGGATGTAAACGGAGAAGTTATTGAAAAGTCTGGAAAAGAAAACATGAAGAATACTGAAGATGGAGATTAGTGTTAGGGATAGGCATGTGTTTATGTAGTTTTTTCATGTATTTGATGCACTTTGAATGTAATCATATATCGTTTTTTCCCTTTGAAAATGATGATGGAATGATATTTGTAGCCTTCTTGTAATGGCCTTGATGTG